ATTTCTTTCTGCTTGAGATTCATTCTTCAGAATTCCTGTTGGTGAGGTTTCAGTGGTAGAAAACCCTATTTTTGTTGAAATGAAAGTATAATCATTTCACCTGTTGAAAAATACTTGTATCACTCAGCACTTTCTCATTCTCTATACCACTGACTTCTGGGCTTTGTCTTTGCTGATAAGAAGTCAGTTGTCAGTCAAATTGCCACTTCTCTGAAGGCAATTTTTCTTTGTCTTTCTAGCTCCTTTTAAATCATCCCTTTGCATCTGGTCTTTGAAACTGTATTATGACATGTCTATTGTGTCTTTAAAATGTTATGCTACTTGGAATTTATTGGGCTTGTTACATATGTGGACTTGTGTCTTCATCAGTTATGAGAAGTTCTCAGTAGTTACACTTTCAAATCCTGACTTTTCTCCGTGCTCTGTGCCCACTTCTCTAGAACTTGATTAGATGTTGATGAGGGTGCCTCGCTCTGTCTTCTGTGCTTCCTTAAGTCTCTTTCATATTTTTTGGTCTTTCTGGGCTGCACTTTTTGTAATGTTTACAGCTCTTTTATTTACTAGCTCTCCCCCAAGCTGGGTTTAATATACTCTCCAACCTATTCGTTAAGTATTTAATTTCAGCTCTCTTTTTCAAGTATAGGAGGTGGTCCATTTGATTATTATTTTATGATGTTCTAGACCCATTACAGTCTTCTTTTTCATTTCTCATAACATATAAAACAGTAGTCTGTGTCTGATAAATCCAATATCCTATTCCTTTTCAGGCCTAAGTTTGCTGCTTTTATTTCTTCTGGTGCTCACACATGATGCATTGTTTTCTTGTATATTTAATGACTTTCTTTCTTTTATAACTCTGAATTATTCATGTTCCTTGTAGAAATCCTCAGAGATTTGGGACAAGAGTAGATTCCTCCAGAAAGGATACATTCTCTTCTGTAAGATGTCTGGTGTGTGTATATATCTAGGATCATTTTCAAATTAATGAAAGACTTGAAGTTTGGGGGTGGCTTTCCAGGACTGCGCCTTGGGACTGCAGATCCATGGGAGGGCCAATTTGGGATGGAATCAATGGGTTGAGTCAGGATAGTTTCACTTCCATTCTCTGAGTTTGTAGGGCTTGCAAATTACTGGGGAGTGGTCTTCTATTAGATTACTTGCCTGGTGGGCTTTGGGGTTTGTCTTCCTCCTTCCTGTTTTATGAGGCTGTAAAAACTGATGCTCCTGCTTTGACAAAACCCTCCAAATGAAAGTTGGCATCAGTTCACTGCTAGCCTTTTTGAATTCTGCCTACACACAGGTACCAGGCTGAGTATCTCTTACTTTCCTGCCAGCTTGGGGATGCACTCGCAAATGAGTTTTTACATAATTACCATCATTTTCAGTTGTTTGCAACAGGAGCTTGGTCTGGGCCTCTGCTCCATCCTGTTGACACCCTCTTTTGATCTTTCCCTAGTATTTGTCTTAATCCCTTAAGACACTGTTCAGAGGCCCCAGGTGACCACAGGCATACCTCACCCTCTCTCTGCTTACTGGGACCAGGCTGGCTCTTCAGATCTCTAATAACAGCAGCTTCTTGGATGGCAGACTCAGAGACCTCATCCAACAACTGTGTTGTTTGAAGCCATCCACACTTGCAGCTTTCACTTGACCACAAAGAGTCACGGAGATCACTCCTTTGTCAGGGAATCCCCTTCCCATTTGAGCATCTGCATTAGAAATACCTGCCTCAAGATCTCTCATGTTACCTAATCAATGAACCTGTGCCGAGGCCTAATGGGAAACAGTGATCTCACGTGTTCAGCTCTGCAATCCTGGGCACACGCCGGGGTGTGGATGGGAGGATGAAGGCAAGGGGAGGGGGGCGAGGTGGGAACCAGTATTCATGAGGAGTTGCTCTCACATGTAGAAAAGTTGGAGATCAAACAAAACTCTTAACATGAAAGCTCCCATGAAATAAGTATTTTCATCTCTATTTATTCAGATGGAAAAAAAAAAAAAATCGAGTCCAAAGTGACGTGTCTGAGGTTGCAGAGTTGACAAATGGCCGAGTCGAAGTTTAGTACCTCGGGCATCTTCCCGTGGACCCGGACTCTGCTCCGTGAATTTCGGATGACAGAGTCTGACAGCGGGGTGATTATGGGTTGTTGCAGGCCTGTCCTGCCCGAAGGGACCAAATGTCAGGAGGGCAAGGCCCAGCTGGCTCAGCTGGTGAGATGAAAAGGACACGGGCTATTCCTGGCTTAGCCTCCTCTGGCCCTCGGAGGGAGGAGGGGTCCAGACACGGAAGCTGTAGGACTGCAGCGCCTGGGAGGTGACAGTCAGACCTGAAGAACCGGGACGCATCATCCAGACATCAGCACCTGGGTTTGCTGCCTCCGCCACACAGCTGGCACGACCCAGCCACACAAATACCCCACCCCTGCTCTACCCGGCTCCCTGGCTCCTGCTGACCCCACGACGGAGCTCCAAATATTCATGGCCCATGCAGGGCTGCCCTTGGGCTGGACTCAGTTCATCTCCTCCACCGTGAGAGGCATTCACAACACAGGCCTCACCTGGGTCACCCTTCCAGCACCCTCTTCTCCAAGAAGTCTTGAGATTTCTCTCTCGGTGCATCCGGTAACTTCTCTGGTAACTGCTCTATTTGTTTGGGAAACTAGAAAACACTTGGGGTTCCCATGACCCCTCCTCAGATTTGAGAGTTTGCTAGAATAACTCAGAGAATTCAGGAAAACACATTACTTATGTTGACCAGTTGACTACAAGCGATATTACAAAGGATACAGATGAGGAGGCGCCCAGGGCAAGGTCTGGGAGGGTCCCGGCTGCAGGCACTTCTGTCCCCGTGGAGCTGGCATGGATGGTCTCCAGCTCATGGATGTGTTCACTGAGGAAGCCCTCCACACCCACCACGGAGGGCGTTCTTAGAGGACTCCGTCCTTCGGGCTTGATTAACTCACCCCCGGCCCCTCTCCCCTCCCGCTCAGTGGGGGGGGACAGGAAGGTCCAAGCTTCTGGTCTCGCTGAGCATTTCTGGTGACCACACTGAAGCCACCCAGGAGCCCACCCAGAGCCGCCTTTTCAGAACAAAAGGCGCTCCTGTCACCCAGGAATGTCCAAGGGGTGAGGGAGCTGTATCGGAGGCTGAGGGCAGAGACCCAGTGTCTGCTACGTCACGCTCCGCTGAAAATGGCATGCCAAGCCCCCACTCCTGGCCCCCAAGGTTCCCTGGAATTGCCAGCCAGGGCCAGCACCTGATCTGTGCACAGCTGAGGACGGCTGGTGTTCAGGGATGACCCCCTGCGGGCTGGGGACACACAAGCCAGCTCGTGCCGCCGGGGACGGGCCGGGCCGGAGGTCGCCTTCTCACTCCCCCAGGCTCCGTGAGGATGTCAGCCCCAGGGACCCTCGGGTTCCTTCTGCACTGGCTTGTCCCCGCCCCCGACCCCTCATTCCCCCGTGGGGGGTCCCGGGGCCCTCAAGCGAAGCCCCTCCCTGGGCCGGCCTGTACAAGCAAGCAAGGCCCGAGAGGGTGGAGGCTGGTGGAGTGGGAGGAACGGACACCATGGGCCTTGCGGCAGCTCTGCGTTTGCACCAGTGCCCCCTCCCTGCCAGCTGAGGGCAGCTCAGCCCCGCTCGGGGCAGGACAAGACGCCCAGCCTCACCCCAGCTCCCGGCAGGCGACAAGCCGCCTGCAAAACTGCTGGGGGCAGCCTGGCCTGTGAGGCACGGGCTTAGGCCCTGAGAGCCTGTGAGGGAAGAAACAGGCAGAGTGGCGAGTGTGGGGAGGCGGCCCTGCCGCCATCTCCCCGGTGACCCCGCCAGAGAGACAGAGCCGGCTCAGGCCGCCTGTGGCCCTGAGCTCCGGGTGCCTGGACGCTCAGTCCCCGTCTGCGCGGGGCAGTGCCCAGGGGCCCAGAGCGTTTGGGGACCACCCAGCAGGGCCTGGCTCTGGGAGACGCCGACCAGGAGACACGTGCAGCCCGTGGGAGGCGGGCTGGGGCATTCTCTGCTGCCCGGAGCCTGGAGCTCTGTTTGAGAGGTTTTCTAACCAGGGTGCGCCAGGCCCCGAAATCTCGGGGCTCCCAGCGGCCCTGCACCCCAGGCCCACAACGGCCTGCTCCCCGCCCCTCCCGCTCTGCCCCGTGTGGGGGTCAACCATGGCCCTGCTGCCGTGAGGAAATGGGGGAACCCAGGAGCCTTGGACACCTCTGGCTCCTCCCAGCCCCGCTCTGTGCCTTGGGACCCGCGCCCTCTCTCAGGCCCCAAGACCCTGGTCAGGACGGGAGTTTGCTGGACAAGGCCTGCCTGAGGGTGCCTGGGCAGGGGTGGGCTCAGAACCTGCCTGAAGTGAGAGCTGCGGGTGGAGGGCGGCTGCCCAGGGTGGGGGGCACTGGGCGACCCTGGGAGCAGTGAGGGGGAGTAGGCAAAGGCAACCGTCATGGGCGGTGGGTCCAAGGCTGGTTACAGGACACCCACCTCCAATCTTCACCTCGACTTCTGGAGGCCGGTGTCACCCCCAAACGCCTTCCCAACCGTGTGGATCTCAGGTGTGTGCTGAGTCGCTCAGTCGACCCCATGGAGTATACAGTCCATGGAATTCTCCAGACCAGAATACTGGAGTGAGTAGCTGTTCCCTCCTCCAGGGGATGTTCCCAACCCAGGTCTCCTGCACTGCAGGCAGATTCTTTACCAGCTGAGCCGCCAGGGAAGCCCGTGTGTATCTCAGGAGAGGAAGTGAAAGGCTGGGGAGGCCAGAGCCATCCTGGGAGCTGGCGGCCGAGGTGCGGGACTCTAGACGGTGCTCCCAGAGAAATGAGGACCAGACCCAAACAGCACACTCCTGGGAAGCGGTGGGGGCTCACAGGGACAGACGGACACGGCTCCAACCCTGCTGGCCAGTGGCTATGCGTGCTGTGGGGGGTCGCAGGGATCCCTACCTGAGCTGGGGGGGCGGCCGCCTGGCCGTGCTGGACAAGCAGAGGCAAGGATGCAGGTGACCAGCAGAGAAGCAAGGCAGACCCTTTATTGGAGAATCTGTCACCGATACACGGACACACACAGGCCACACCCCCGAACCCGGCCTGGACCCAGCCCAGGGCCCAGGACGGCTGACGCAGGGTGTCCACTCCCCGGGGCCGGGGGAACTCTCGGTGTCACCCACAGGGCCATCTCTCCCAGCTCGGCTGCCTCGGGGTCCCCAGGAGAAGAGCAAGCCCTTGGGGGATGCCAAGGGCCAAGGGGGCCGGGGGAGGCTCCCCAGACCCACCCGGGCAGGGCCCCTCCCTCACGCTCGCCTTCCCTTCCTACCGGCTGGGTGGTGAACCCCAGGTCATGGGAACAGGTGCAGGGACCCCAGCCTGGGCTGGGTGGATGGGTCATACTCTGGGGTCTTGGTCAGCATCTGTTTTAGCCAAAGCTCGCCGGGGGCGGGGCCCTGTGAGTCCCAGAGAGGACGTGACGGGCAGATGGTGGTGAGTGCGGGCTGGGGGCTGGGTGGCCAGGAGGAGGGGGCCTCTGGTCTTCTCTCCCTGCAGGATCAGGGACCCGGGACGGGGCAGGGCGCTCAGGCTTGCGCCTCCAGGGCGCGCACGTGTACGCTGGGCAGGCAGAACCAGGATGGGGGCAGCTCCTTGCTGGGGCCGTCCTCGTGGAACCGGATGTGGAGGAAGAAGTCGCCCGTGTAGAGGAAGAGAAGCGCCCCGAGGCAGGCCACCTGGCCCGACGGCTGCACCTGAGAGAGGGGGCAGAGGTGAGAGCCTGGAGCCACGGGGCCCAAAGCCTGGGGCCGCGGGGGTGGGGGGCCCCAAGCCTGGCTCCGCGGCCCCCAGGGCTTCTCTGCGCTGTCGCCCCGCCAAGCCCCCGGAACTCTCTGCGCCTCAGCTCCTGTCCCGGGAAGGGACAGCACTGCCCTCCCTGGGCTGTCTGGGGGTCAGCGAGCTGGGGAGTGTTTGGGGCCAAGGCACATTGTTCACCAGTGACCGGAGCAGGAGGACCATGCCTCGTGACTGCATCTGCTCCTCTGGGCACAGTCACCGCCAAGCAAGGGGGAGCTGCCCGCAGCGGGCAGGGCGATGGTGCCCCGAATGCCCCACCCCAGCTCCTCGACAGCCCTGCCTCCCCATCGTGGCCCTGCTCCTGGGACTCGCGTACGGAGACGTGAACTCTCCGGGGTCTCCGGGAGAGTCAGGTGGATGGGGGTCGACGCAGAGACTGCGCCGGCCGCCCTGGAGGAGGGCCCCACGCACCTTATCCAGGTAGAAGGTGCCAGAGCCAACGAAGGACACAGCGTGGCGCAGGTCGTAGTTGTGAACGCCATTCTGGTGGTCCTGGAAGGGCACCACGCTGAGGGCAAAGGGCCCCACGCTGCGCGGGCTCCGGTTGGTCAGCCGCACCTCCAGGCGCACCGGGTCACCGACCCGGCAGGCCGCCGCCTGGCAGTCACAGGGTTGTCCATCCACCAGCACATCTGCAGGGACACGGGCCACCAGAGTGTCAGGGCCCCGGCCGCCGGCCCGCCACCCCGATCACCCGCTCCTCCACCAGCCTCGGCTGCCGCCTGTGTGGTGCCAGCCTGGGGACGGGACACCTGCATGGCCCAGCCCCTGCCCTCCTGACCTACAGGCTGGGGGTCCTGGAGGGCCTCCTAGATGGCCCTGGCTGGAAGGGCTAAACTCTGGCCCTGACCCTCATGGGCTCCTGCAGGTGGCAGGCAGCCAGGAGAGGGACTCAGACCTGGAGGGGACCATGCGTGGCCAGGGACCAGGCAGGGGCCCAGCCAGCTGGGCCTCTATGGAATCACCTGCAGGGAGACCTGCCCAGAGGCCCCCCGTGAGGGCTGGGCTGGCCCTGCGGGCACCAGGGAGATGGGACGGCAGCTGGGGGGAGGCCTGGGGGGTCACAGAGCAGGCTGAGCACTGTCAGGCAGGGGGCAGGGAACAAGGGGCCCCACAGGGTGGGGGTCGGGCAGGCAGATGGGAGAGGCCACGCTGTGACCCCCAAGCAGGCCAGCTGGGGGACCTGCTCTCCGGCCCAGGCGCGAGGCACAGGCTGGGAGGTCAGTGATGAGTGTCCTGAAAAGAGGCAGAGGAGAGAGGAGCTGAGCTGCTTCTCCTGAGTCCTCCTGCCCGCCCTCGCCCTCTCTGGGCCCCGGCGTCCTCTCCTTTAGGAGATAAGAGGAAAGTCTCCTTCACAGAGGTTTTGCGAGAACCAGAAACCCGAAAGCAGGGGGCTGGGCCGCCCGGCCGCCCCGTAGATCTTATCACCGTCACGCCCACATCTACCCTGGGCACCAGAGACTGTGCGGGGTGGGCCAGGTTCTGGACCAGCTTTAATCCCCAGCCCAGGAGGACACTCTGCATTTATATAGCTTCTCCAGGCCCTTCCTCACCCGCGCGGGCTGGTGGGGAAGGCGGATGGGGCGGGTGAGCCAGTGTGGTGCTGACGTGATAAGACAGAGAGCACCTGGGCCAAGGACCCAGTCCTTCCAGCCTCTCCTGGGCCACTGTGTCCAGGAGGGTTGCAGACCACAGCCCACCTGCCCGGGGCCACACGCAGGACCTGGAGGGTCCCAGCCCCAGGGAGGGGGCCCCCCGGGGAGGTGGGGAGCAGTGTCCCAGCCTGGAGGCCTGTCTCCTGACCCTCAGGCTGCAGGGGAGCCACACACCAGAGACCTCAATCTGAGGGCTCCTTGGGAACGGTGGGCGGGACAGACAGAACTCCAGCTCTGAGGTCTAGGCTCCTCCCTGAGAGACCCCCGGAACCCTGTGCCACCAGAGTGGGGGTGTGGGAGACAGAATGACCCCCCAAAGATGTCCACGCCCTACCCCCTGGAGCCCGAGTGGGGTGTTCCCGCACATGGCAAGGTCCTTGAGAAGCTGAGTAGCTTGGAGCATCCAGGCGGCCCGATGTCATCATGTCCGAGGCCCTTGTAAGGGCAGGAGGGCAGGAGAGAGCCCAGGGAGGCTGTATGGCCAGGGAGGCAGAAGACACTCAGAATAAAAGGAAGCTTTGACCACACGGCAGCCACCGACGCTGGTCTCCAGGGCCCGGCCCAGCCCTCAGCCAGGTTCCTCTCCCTCCCTGTGTTCCAATCACACTGCCTATCCACCCCAGTCCTCCTGCAGGCCCAGTCCATCCCGGCCCCAGGGCCTTTGCATCAGCCGGCACACCTGGGCCCCTCCTGGGAGAGGCAGTCTCTAACCACACAGCACAGAGCCTTCCTGCCCGGGACTGTCCCTCACTCTGCATCTCCTGACCCTTGGCATCTTCTCTCAACTTCCCGCGTTTGCCCACCTGTTTGTTAACTGTGTTCTTCTCTTCTTGCCCCAGCACCTGGGCCAGGCAGGAAGTGGAAATGAAGTCACTCAGTCGTGTCCGGCTCTTTGCGACCCCATCGACTGTAGCCTACCAGGCTCCTCTGTCCATGGGATTTTCCAGGCGAGAACACTGGAGTGGGTTGCCATTTCCTTCTCCAGGAGATCTTCCCAACCCAGGGATTGAACCCAGGTCTTCTGCACTGTAGGCAGATGCTTTACTGTCTAAGCTACCAGGGTGGAGTCTTAATCACTGGAACACCTGGGCCAGGCAGGCACTCTTCTATTTCATCTTTGTTGACTAAATGAATGGATGAATCAGAGTGGGCTTTCGGGCTGGGGTCAGTTCAGCTCAGTTCGGTTGCTCAGTCGTGTCTGACTCTCTGCGACCCCATGAACCACAGCACACCAGGCCTCCTTGTTCATCACCAACTCCCAGAGTTTACTCAAACTCATGTCCATTGTGTCAGTGATGCCATCCAGCCATCTCATCCTCTGTCGTCCCCTTCTCCTCCTGCCTTCAATCTTTCCCAGCATCAGAGTCTTTTCAAATGAGTCAGTTCTCCACATCAGGTGGCCAAAGTATTGGAGCTTCCGCTTCAGCATCAGTCCTTCCAATGAATATTCAGGACTGATTTCCTTTAGGATGTACTGGTTGGATCTCCTTGCTATCCAAGGGACTCTCAAGAGGCTCAAATTCCGGTGGCACCCCACCCCCTTGGGCCCCCCTGGAGCTCGAAGAGACTGGGCCAGGCCCCTAGACTGTCCCACAGAGGGGACCTCAGAACTGAGCTGCCACCGCCCCGCTCTGATCCCGACTCACATGCCAGGCTTTTGTGGAGGAGATTATTCGTGCAGGAGCAGCTCATGTTGTAAGAAACCTCCTGGGAACGGATTAGCCTCTTCCCCTGGAGCATTAAATCGGCTGCAGTCCATCTCCTCCCGCCGCCCCCAGCCCGCTTCTCCTTCACTTTCAATACCAGCCGGAGTCACGGACTTCATTCTATCTGGCCCAGGATCCCTCCCGAAGCGGCTGCCGCGTTTATGCTACAGCACGTCGCCAGGCTCTGGCAGGAACACGGCTATAAATAGAAGGCGAGAGGAGGGAAGGGCCTGTGGGGCCCACTCCAGCGAGGGAGGCGCGGGGAGAAAGGCAGCTGGCCAGTGCCGGCCAAGGGCGGCCACCATGGGGACGGTGGGATGGGGGTTCACGTACGGAGAGTGCGCAGAGGGTGGGGGAGCTGCCCGCACCCCGAGGCTGTACCTGGAGGCAGAGTGAGCACAATGTTGTCCCCCCACAACCCATCCAGAGCCTCCCCCAAGGCCAAGAACCCTCCCCCAGCAGCCTCCCAGGCTCCTGGAGGGCAGAGGGCACAGCTGTGGTTTCCGCAGGTTTTGAGCAGGGATGCTGAGGTATAGAGAGGAGATGGGGCCGCCAGGGCCCTAACGGAGGGTGTGCCACCCAGGCGGGGTGGGGTGGGGCTGGAGTCCTGCTTCTGGGGTGGGGGCTCGGTCTTTCCGCCTTGGTTTCTCCTCTCTCCCAGGAGGACTGGGAAGAGCTCTGCTTGCCCAGGCGGGGCCGGTTTTAGACCCCCGCCCAGCCTCACCAAATGCAGACTCCACTGCACTCTGCCTAGAGGGAGCTGGCCTTCCTGGGCCCAGGAAACCCAGGGCACAGCACTCACCACAGAGGTTCCTGGCTCAGAGGAGCCAGCAGCAGGGGCAGGGCCCGAGGGGAGGGGATGTTCCGGCTCAGCCTCTGCACCCAGGCCTCCCTCCCCCGACAGGCCTCTCATCTCACCATCACTGTTCTTGGGGGTGACAGGTGCTCCTGAGGGCGCCCTGGCCACGGTCCTAAGGTTTCATCATCTCACGCAGTCTGCAGACCAAGCCTGCCAGGTGGAGTGGACACGGCCTCACTTGCAGGGGACCCTGGCCCGGTGGGGAGAGGCCCGTGGCCTCCCAGGTGCGCAGCTGAGCGCTCAGCTCCCTTGGGAATCCTGATGGCCAGAGCTTGTGTTATTTTTCACACATCTTTGCTGAGATTTAGTTCACAAACCACAGCTCACGCACTGAAGTGCACAATTCCATGGCTTTTCATCTATTCCCAGGTCTGAGCAACCATCGCTACAGGCAACGCGAGAGCATTTTCATCACCTCCAAAAGCAACCCCCTACCCCTTCTCCACTCCCACCGGTCCCCCACCCCCGAACAACCAGGATTCAAGCTTCTACCTCTACAGACACCCCAGGTCTACGGACTGTCACACAAGAGTGGGTTTCCATTCCCTTCTCCAGGGGATCTTCCCAACCCAGGGATCAAACCTGGGTCTCCTGCGCTGCAGGCAGATTCTCTACCGTCTGAGCCACCAAGGAAGCCCCATAACCACACATACTCGGTCTCTAGAGCAGGCTTCTCTCCCCGAGTGTGATGCTGTTGGGGCTGTCTGTGGGCGTCCATGCCTCACTCCTTCTCACGATGGACACGCCACAGCTGGCCGTCCACATGTTTGTGGACGTGCACCTGGGTGCCTCTGCCCTTGTCTGTTGTGAGCAATGCCACTGTGGACGCCAGAGGAGAGTGTCTGTGTGGACACAGTTCTCCGGTGTTCGAGGGCATGCACCTTGGAGCGGAATTGCCGGCTGAAGCGGGGTGGGGGGGCGTTTAACCAGCCGAGGGATCACCAGGCTGAGGTCCCACCCGCAGCACTCAGATTCTCCATGTTCCTCCTGGCACTCATACTGCCCGCCTTTTCTGTCCAGCCATCCCAGCGTGGGTGCAGGGGCATCTCCTGCCGAAACCGCGCCTGGCCAGGCTTCTGCGGCCCTCGAGGTCCACAGGGCAGATGTGGGCCTCTGCTGTCTGACCCAGACACAGGTTTGCAAAGGCCTTCTTTCTGGCCTTCTTCACTCCTCTCTCCCTGGCTGGGAACCTTCTGGAATCCCAATCCCTTAACCCCACTTGTTCTCTGGTGCCTAGGGCCGGGCCGAGGGCTGGGATGTAGACGGGGCCCCTCTCCCGGTGAGCACGGCAGAGGACAGCAGGCTGGGCAGACCCGAGGCCCACACAGTGCGTCAGGACCCGGACTCCAGAGAGGCAGCTGGGAGCAGGGGCTCCAGAGCCAAGAGGAGGGCTGGGTAGAGAGCAGAGCCTG